CTCATGGTTTCTTAACAGTCTTGCTGAGCTGTCTATGTTCTTTTCAAGTTGAAATACTTTGTCTTCATTGTCTGATGTTCTATCTTCTAAGTGTTCTACTCTGCTGGTAGTATTCTCAATTGAGTTTTTAATTTGGTTTATTGCTTCCTGCATTTCTAGGATTTCTGTTTGTTTGTTGTTTATAACCTCTATCTCCCTGTATAGTTGATCCTTTGCTTCCTGGATTTGTTTGTGTAATTCATTGTCGAAGTGATCTTTCATTGTCTGATTTTGCTGTCTAATGTCTTCCTTGATACTCCAGATCATCTGAAGCATATATATCCTGAATTCTTTATCTGACATTCCATCTGCTGCAGCTGTTACCTCTTCTAAAGTTGAGTTGACCTCCATTGCTTGTAGTCCTTTCTTTCCTTGTCTTTTCATACTGCTTGCGTTTCTTTCTTCTTGGTGAAACTGTTGTGTTTTTGAAATTTTTCTCCTCCCTATATATTTATATTGCTCTTGTATAGTTGAAAAGTCTCCCTTGCAGGTGCGGGCGGGGGCTCTGCTCTGCCCCTCCTCCAATTGGTGTGAGGTGTCTACCACGCCCGCGGACCCCTGGGCCTGATCTGCCATTCTGTCGCAGGTCTGCCTACCTTGCAGGTGGGGGCGAAGGCTCTGCCCTGCCCCTCCTACCATGCCCAGGGACTGCTGGGCCTGATCTGCAGGTTGGTTGCCGGTCTGCCCACCTTGCGGGCAAGGGTCGCAGTTCCGCTCCGCCCCCACTCCAATTGGGGTCACTTGACCACCACACAGGCGGGCCGCTGGGCCTGATCTGGGCGCGGGCGAAGGCTCTGCTCTGCCCCTACTCCAGTTGGGGTGAAGTGTGTACCACGCTGGCAGGCCGCTGGGCCTGATCTGCCGGTCTGTCGCAGGTCTGCTTATCTTGCCGGCGCGGGCGGCGGCTCTGCCCTGCCCCTCCTACCATGCCCGCAGACCGCTGGGCCTGATCTGCAGGTTGGTCGCAGGTCTGCCTACCTTGCGGGCGCGGGCGGCGGCCCCGCTCCTCCCCTCTGGCTCGACGACAAAGCCAGAGAGACTCGGGTATCTGTGACTCACCCTCCCTACCAGGAGACCAACTGTTTCCGTCGCCGCTGGCACCGATGAAGTTCTCTCCTCGGCCGCTCTCCGATGACATCAGATCTCTGCCATGCTGGCATCCCCTGTTCTATGGCTGAATCCCATTTTCTTCTCTTCCAATAGGCGGAGCTGTGCCCTCTGAGCCGAGCTTCTGCCCTCTATGTGCTGACAGAAATCCCTGTACGGTGGCTCCTGGGAGTCTCTCAATCCTGTTAGTTCAGAGCCCTTTCACTTATCCGGCCCCTCCCCCTGTTCCTCCTCCCAGCCAGCCAGCCAGGTCCTGTTCACCAGAGGCGGTTCCCCAAGGGTCTGATTACACTTGCAGCCCCACCGCATGTCCTATATCCCGAACGATGAACACCCTCTCTGTCATTCATCTAAGCCCCAGTGCTGTGGTGCGGTGATCTGGGAACCAACAGTTTAATTTTTCCGGACCCCTTTGGTGGGCATGCCCCCAGAAACTGGTGGCTAAGATCTTGGGTGTCGCCGCTGGTGTTAAGGGGAGGTGGGGATCTGGAATCCCCTCTGCTTCCCTACAGACATGCCCCCGGAGAGATTCCCGAGGTTTCCTGGCTGCTTGTATCTGGAGGGGGTGGGAGTCACACACCTGCTAACGTGGATTCCGCTGGGAAGGAATTCTGTTGGCGGAACTTTCGTGATGTCACCTCTCTGCTATGGCGGGCCCCAGGCTCCTTGCCGGAGTGTCCGAAGGGAGGGGTGGGACTGGTCTGTCTCTGGTTGGTTTCAGCTCCCGGTTCGCTATTTCATGAAGGCTTGGCGAGAGACCTCTTCCTAGAGTCCCTGCACCGCTCCTGCTGTGCTGGGCCTCGGAGGCTATCCGCCCTGACGCGGGGGCCGGTGCAGGCAGCCGACAGTCGCCGAGTCGCGCGGGCAGCGGCTGGCGGGTCTGGACCTCTGCACTGAGTGGCGGAGATTCACTCGTCTAGCGCAAACTGTCACCTCCAAAAATCCTACCGATTCCCGGCCGGTCTCTCTTTAGTGGAATTTTGCTAGGAGTTTCTCAGCAGGTCGAATCTAAGCGTATCCATGCGTCTCTCTCACCCCGTTGTTGAGGAGGTACTGAAAGCGCTGCCTCCCCTCTTGCCGCCATGTTGGATCCTCATGTTCAAACTCTTTATTTCATAGAATAAATTTCATTCTCTGTTCTCTAGGTCCAAGTTTTCAAAGCCCTGTTAAAATTTCACATATAGGGAAACCTTATCTGATACTCCATTGTAAAATGATTTCTTCTTTAACTCTTTTGGTTTTATTGTTCATTTTTTTTTTTTTGGTGATGAGCAGCACATTTATCTCTACTTTTTAGAAAGTTTTGTTATTTTGAGATGGGGTCTTGCTATGTTGCCCAGGTGTTCAAACTCCTGGGCTCAAGGGGTCTGCCTGTCTTTGCTTCCCTAATCAGCCAGCTACTTGCTAGAATTATAGGCACATTTTAAAGTAACATTTCCTTTAAGAAACCATAATTTACCTTCTATACTGTTTTTTTCTGGACTGTTAATAAATGTTAAAATTTAGATTGTATATATTGCTATAGCTATGACTCAATGAAGATTGATTATATATGTAGTACTTTAGGCTGAGTATTATTCCCCAGGCATCTACCATTTTTTTTTTTCATAAGTTTTGAAAAGAAGTCATTCTTGAGTACAAGGTTACATAATCAAATGCCTGCAGTATCAGGTTGACAACATCAATATGTGAATTGTTGTGTATACGAGACATGAAATGAAAGAGCTCTGATAAACTAAAGTGTATACCCCATCAAAGGAATTCAAGCCAAATTCTTAAGGTTTTGGGCTAGCTCTGCTTGTGACCCCTGTTCTATTTTTGTTTCTGTTGTTGAACTCTACTACTTAACTTTAAAATGTGTTAAAAACCAGAGTATATAGAATATTCATAATAAAGAATTTAAAAAGTTGGGGATCACATAAATAATATATATTGCATTAGGTTTTTTGTAGCATAAGTTACAAACTTTTCTCAAATATGTACAAATATCTATGTATAGACACACATATATATGGTAATATTATGTTGGTTTCATAAGGACAAAGATCACGTCTCTCTTGTTCACTGTTCAACATTTTCCACAAAGACTGGCAAATATTATTTGAAAGAGTGGCTATACTTTTTAATTTTTTTCCCCTTCTTTTGGTAATTCTTTACTGTGTATAGCATAACCACCTAGTGGTACTAAACTCTTTTTAAAACTTGAAGTATTTTTATTCCCATGTTCCCATGTACACTGTCATTACTCTTCTTGAGACACATGCACAAGATGAGCTATAAGCTATAATTGTTCATGGACTTTATAAATTGTTATTCACATCAAAAGAGAAATATCAGCAACTATAGGACATTTTTTTCTACTTCTGTAAAAAAAAAAATTGTAAAGTGGTAGGTTGCAGATTTGAAGTCCTTAGGTCATAGAAATGTTTCATAGATAACTCTAAAAGCTTTGCTATGTAACCCAGCATTGATTATATAGTGTATCTTTAATGTGTCATGATTTTGGAAGAATGTGTGAACTATGACTTCACTGTACTGCTGTCATCAGACAATTTTATCCTAGGTAATTTTGGCCCAAGATAAGGGAACGTTAAATATTAGAAAGTTTTAGTTAGCCACATTTATGGTCTTCTTTTAATCATTAAAACTTGTCATCCAAATTCAGTAAAGAACTGATTCACATCAAAGTTTATGTTAATAGAAATTAGTGACAATGTTAATTGGATTCCAGATCTCCTCTAAATCATCAATTCTGAGATGATTTTGAATACATATTACTTTCATAGAGGAATTATAGAAATGGTAGTGGTATTATATTTGTTAGGAATTGGAAAGAAGAGAATGGAAAACACAGTCTTATCATGTCTGTTAAGATGGGGAGTAAGAGAAAGTACCTTAGTTGAGAATATAGTCTTAACCTTTTTGTGTCTCAGCTTTCACAAGTATAAAACAAGAATAAGAATGTTGCTTCTTTAGGCTGGGGTTGTTGCTCAGTGGTATAGCAGCTGCTTAGCATGTATGAGGCCCTGGGTTAGATCCCCCTGCACTCAAAAAAAGAAGAAAGAAAAAATTAGGGGTGAGGATTGTAGCATTTATCTAGCATGAGTCAGGTTCTGGATGAGCCAGGCATGGGGCACAGGCCTGTAATCCCAGTAGCTCCCGAGGCTGAGGTAGGAGGATCTCAAGCCAGCCTCAGCAACTTAGTGAGGCTCTGAGCCATTTAGTGAGACCCTGTCTTGAATAAAAAATAAAAATTGGTGGGGGTTGTGAATGTGACTCAGTGCTTGAACACCCCTACGTTTAATCCCTGGTGCCAAAACAAAAGAAATTTGTTATATGTGAAGTGCCTAGAAAGCTACATGGCTGTAGCGTTTTTTGTTAAATGAACATTTTAATAGCTGGAGTACAAAACTGTAAAAACTGATTGAGTGGACATATTTGGGAGGATTCAAATGAGAGTAGAAACTAATATGAGTTGTTGCAGGATTATCTAAAAGCGACGTAGATGAGTTAAAAGTTTGTGCTGGGTTGGATAGGCAGAAATATGTTTAGGAGGAAGTGAGTGTGAAGGGAGGATAAGTTCATTTGGCTTAATCAGCTATGTTGGATGATTGGTCTTGTAACCTTAACTGAATTGGCTTTCATTAATGTTATAAGTTCATTTGTTTTCTAGAATCAACTCCAGAATTGCAACCAATTTCTGAAAATAGACTAGACTAGAAATCAAACATTTTTATTATTTTTCGGCTAAGACTATGAAATAAAAATTGGAAACTATTAATATATTTTGGGGGTCACTTTCACCAGTTAAAAACTTAAAAAATTAATAATATCTTTGCTTTTATGTTTTATAGGTAATTAACAATGCATGTGCCACTCAAGCCATTGTAAGTGTGTTATTGAACTGTACCCATCAAGATGTTCATTTAGGAGAGACATTATCAGAGTTTAAAGAATTTTCACAAAGTTTTGATGCAGCTGTGAGTAAAATCTTCTTCCTAATCCTAAAATGACCTCTTTGTCATAGTTCTTATTTTAATATACTGCTTCTAAAATTATTTTAGATGAAGGGTTTGGCACTGAGCAATTCAGATGTGATTCGACAAGTACACAACAGTTTTGCCAGGTAATGAGTCTTTATATTAAATAAGTACAGTTTCTGTTTTTGTTTCTTTGTCTCATTGTTTTTTTCTTAACTATAGACAGCAAATGTTTGAATTTGATGCAAAAACATCAGCCAAAGAAGAAGATGCTTTTCACTTTGTCAGTTATGTTCCTGTTAATGGAAGACTGTATGAATTAGATGGATTAAGAGAAGGACCAATTGATTTAGGTAATCTGGTTTCTTGGTGTTTAACTTTTTTTTTAAAAACATTTATTTTTTAGTTGTAGATTGACACAATATCTTTATTTTATTTTTATTATGTAGTGCTGAGGATCGAGGTGAGTGCTTGTTGCAAGCTAGGCAAGCGCTCTACCTCCGACACAACCCCAGCCCTAGTATTTATTTTGACAAGGACAAAAAAGTTGACTATTCATCTTTATTTAAACTATAGTACTGCTTACGTTTTAAAAGTGGAGGTTACTATAAGGTCGTATAATATGAAAGTGTTAGCTTTTTATGGAATTAAAATAACATAGGAATGACATGTTAATTGCAATAATTCAATTGACCTTTAATTTTTTTTCTAAGAGAAAATATTTTTTTAACCCACAGATTACATAATTTATATTTTATTTTCCAGTTAACTTAAAAAAATACTCAGTAAATTTAAAAGGTTGTTATTGTCATTTTTATTTACTGGGGGATAACAAGCATTTCTTACTTCATCTTGGAATAAAATATTTTCATTTGGCTTGAGTATGGTGGCTCATGCTTGTAATCCCAGCGTCTTGTGAGGCTGAGGTTCAGTCCCAAGTACAGTAAATTTTTTTTTTTTTTTAATTTGAAGTTGGATCATTAACAATCACTTTAATTTACTGTTCAGTAATCTCCTATTAAATATCTTTCTTTGTATTTAGATAGAATGTTATTGTGCTCTTCTTTTTACTAAAGGGCAAAATTGTCCTTATCTTACCCTGTCTTTAAGCTTAAGGAAAGATGATAAATGGTTAGTAAGGGTACAATCTGTAGTCCTGAAATAATACTAAAACAATGATCCACAAAAATTTTTTTTTGCCCCCCACAGTGCTGGGAATTGAACCCAGGAACTTGTACATGCTAGACTGCTTCCAAGCCCAGCCATAAATAATTTTAACTCCTTATTATGAGCTTATTAAATTTTCTCTTTTCCTTTTTAAAATGGATTGAATGAAGTCCAGCAGAACTTGTTTTAGTTGAGAATCTGATATTATATGCTATTCATAAAATTTTGTACTTTTTTTTTAAATTTAATTTTTTTTTTTAAAAGAGAGAGTGAGAGAGGGAGAAAGAGAGAGAGAGAATTTCAATATTTATTTTTTTTTAGTTATCGGCGGACACAACATCTTTGTTTGTACGTCGTGCTGAGGATCGAACCCGGGCCGCACGCATGCCAGGCGAGCGCGCTACCGCTTGAGCCACATCCCCAGCCCATTAAATTTAAATTTTTAAAAATATTTATTCTTACGTTTTGGACTCACATTATGGATGGATTTCACTTTTTAATTTTTGAGTTAGGATTGTGGGAGTCAGGTAAATAAGGATTGAATCCTTATTTTGTCCTAACATGTGGGTTAGTCTTTCTAATCTTATAGTTTTATCATCTGTAAAGTCAGGGTAGTTACCCTTATCTCACAGGATTGTGAGTTTAAATGAGTAAACTTCCTAATTTGTTACTTCCTCAAATATTTGCTTAGTATCTCCCATGTAAGACAATAATATGACAGTACAAATTATGCTAATATTCTTTCTCCTAATCTTTAATCAAGACAATAAGAATTAAAGCTTAATATAGTAATGCTAAAATGACTTACTGTCCTGAATTTGCTAAACGTACTTATAGAAAGATTTTTGAGGGAGTGTTGATGTTGATTACGCTTATTTTTGTTTTAATTGGTTTTAAAATTTCTTTCTAGGTGCTTGCAATCAAGATGACTGGATCAGCGCAGTACGGCCAGTCATAGAAAAAAGAATACAAAAGTAAATACTCAGCTAATTTCATTGGCATAAACATTCAGGATTTTAGTTTTGTTTGTTTTTTCTTGAGCACTGTATGTAGAACATTACTTTTGATTGCATTAATGCATTCAGGAAATCTATTTCTAAAAATGTCCAAATTTTACATGGATGTCAGATATGACATAACTTTAGAGAATTTAAATGTGCTAGTCTCCATTAAGTGAGATGTTTTCAAATATTTGTATAGATTGATGTTTTTTAAAATTTTGTTTTTGATGGCTTTTTAAATACTCAATTATTTAGAGGTAATTATATATTCATACTCAGTTATAAAAAAGAATATAGACATATTGTGTATTCTGCCTTGCATGGTAGTATCTTGCAAAAACTATAGTATAATATCACAGCCAGGATATTAACATTGATGTCATCAAGACAGAGCAAATAAATGGAATCGTACATTGTGTTATCTTTTTACATTAGTTTTTTTTTTTCACTCAACATAACTGGAGATTATTCTGAGTTGTTAAATATATCAGTAGTTTATTCTTAGTTGATGTGTACTACTCTGGTGTGAACATATCAGTTTTTTGCCTATTAACTCATTGAAAAACATATGGATTACATAGGCGTTTTTTGCTATTATGAATAAAACTGCAGTAAGCATTTTTGTACACTTTCATATAAATATAAATGAGATAAATGCATAGGAGTGTCCATAAAGTTTTATGGTAAATGCATGTTTAGTTTTTTCAGAAACTACCAAACTCTTTTCCATAGTGGTTACGCTATTTTACTTTCCTAGAAAATATGAATAATCCAGTTTCTCTCTGCATCCTTTCTAGTATTTGGTGGTGTCAAATTATTTTGTTTTATCCATTCTTATATTTCATTGTGATTTTTTGTCTATATTTTCCTATTGACTGATGATGTTAAAAATCTCTTTATGTCCTTTGCCCATTTTCTAATTTTTGACTGTTGAGCCCCCAGTGTTTTTTAAATACTTGTTCTTGGTCAGACATGTTGCCTGCAAATACTATTTTCTAGTCTGTAGCCCATCCTTTCAACATGGTTTCTTATAGAGCAGAGTCTTATTCCCAGTGAAGTTCTATTTATCAATATTTCTTGCTATGAATTATATTTTTGTTCACAAGATTAAAAGTGCTTTGCCTCGCCCTAGATCCTGTTTTCTTTTTCTTTTCCTTAGAATGTTTATAGTTTATTTTATATTAAATCTGTGATCTGCTTTAGGTAGTTCTGTATATGGTTTGGCATTTAGGTCAAGATTTTTTTGTTATTGTTGTTTTTTGTTTATACTTACACATATTCAATTGCTCTATCATCAGTTGTTAGAAAAGACTATCCATTTTCTACTGAATTCTTCCTGAACCTTTAAAAATCAAATTAGGCATATTTGAATGATTCTATTTTGGGATTTATTATTCATCTATTGTCCTGACAGTAGCACACAGTCTTGGTTGTTGTAGCTATGTCTTGAAATGAGGCAGACTGATGCCTTCAACTTCATTTCTTTCTTTGAAATTGTTGTAGCTATTCTGGTTCCTCTGCTTTCTCGTATAAATTTTCATTTTTTATTTTCTCTGTAGCCACAAAAATTCTTAGATAGAATTGTGATAGGAATTGTATTAAACATTTAGATCAATTTGAGGAGAATTGTTATCTGTAGTATGTTGAGTTTTCCAATATGAATCTGGTCTCTGCATTTATTTAGATCTCTAAATTTCTTCTATTTATTTATTTTTGTATGCCCCGTGTGTGTGTGGGGGGCATTCTTTTATCAGCATTTTGTGGCTTTTGGTATATAAATCCTGTACACATTTTGTCTGATTTATACCCAAGCACTTCATATTCTTTTGAGTGATATTATAAATGATATTGTATTTTAATTTTTTGTTTCCATGTCATCATTGCTAATACATGGAAATAAAATTGTTTTTTTCACCCTTTGTCTTACATCCTCTGTACTGAACAGATCTAAATTTTATGGCATTTTTCTACATAGATAATCAAATCATTTGCAAAAAAGGGACAACTTTGAATTTATTTCTCCTTTCAGCTTTATCATTTTTGCTTCATGCATTTTCCAGCTGAGTTGTTTGGTGCATGCATATTTATCATTACTGTTTCTTGTTTTTGGATGAACATTTTTATCAATACATAATGTCCTTTTTGCCCTCTCAGTCTCTAATAGTTTTCTTTGCTGTGAAGTTTGTCTGTCTATGTAGCTACTCTTGCTTCTTTGGATTAACATATGTATGATTTTTGTTTTCCTTTTTTCTATTTTTAACTTACTCATATCATAATTAAAGTGAGTTTTTTTTTTTTAAGGGAGTCATTTATTTGATGTATTGAGATCACTTACATCAAATGCAGTGAATTTATAAGATCTGAAATTAAGTGTACATTTAATATAATTATATGTTATGATTAATTCTGCCATTTTTCTTTGTTTTTGTTTTATTTTCTATTTTTTGCCTATTGTAAGTTATTTAAATACTTTTGAAATTCCATTTTTATTTATATGTATTATTCTTAGTGTATTTCTTGTGTGTGTGTGTGTGTGTTAGTTACTGAGGATTGAAACCAGGGATGTTGTGCTATGAGATACCTCCCCAACCCTTTTAATTATTTGTTTTGATATAGGATCTCATTAAGTTGCCCAGGCTGATCTCCAGCTTGTGAATCTCCTGCTTTAGCCTCCCAAGTAGCTGGGATTATAATCATGCACCACTACATTTGGCTTAGTGTATTACTTGTATTTTGTTTTTAGTGGTTTTTAAGTTTGTCACAGTCTATTGGTGTCAACGTTTTACCTGTGTGGGTGTAATACAGAACCTTACCTTCCTTTACATACTCTATATAACACAGTTAAATCATTCTTCCGTATACATTTTAGGAAAACCTTTTTCCCCCCTCCTTTGGTACTCAGGATAGGACTCAGGGGCACTTTACCACTGAGATACATCCCCAGCCCTTTTTTAAAATTTTGAGACAGGGTCTCACTAAGTTGTTTAGAGGCTTGCTAAATTGTTGAGGCTGGCCTCAAGTTTGTGATACTCCTGCCTCTGCCTCCTGAGCCATTAGGATTACAGCTGTGTACCACTGTGGTTGACTGAAAACAGTATGATTTTCACTTTAACACAAAACATAATTTAACAAAAGTTAAAGAGAAGGAAACATTTTATTTAACCATTTTTTAAATTCTTTTCATTTTGTTATTCCTTCCTGGTGTTCCAGGATACCTTTCTTTCTTTTTCTTTTTTAATGTTTATTATTTAGTTTTAGGTGGACACAATAATCTTTATTTTACTTTTATGTGGTACTGAGGATTGAACCTCATGCACGAGCATGCTACCACTGAGCCACAACCCCAGCCCAGGATACCTTTCTTTATCATTTCCTTTCTGCTTAGAAAATTGTTAGCTTATCCAAAGAGTAAGTTCTAAATGAACAGATTTCTTGTTTTTCTTAATCCAAAATATTTAAATTTTTCTTTGATTCCTGAAGGATATTTTCACTAGATACAGAATTCTGGATTGACATTCTTTTCTTTCAGCACTTGAAAAATTTTATGCCACTTCCTTTTGGCCACCATTTTTTTTTTTTTTTTTTTTTTACTGTAAATGCATTGTCATTCTCCTGTAGGCATGGCGTTTCTCACATGCTGCTCTCAAGATATTTTTCCTTCTCTTTAGCTTTTAGAAATTTGACTACATTGTGTTTTGGGATTTGCTCAGCTTCTTAAATCTATAGGTATATGTTGAGTCAAATTTGGAAAGTTTTCAGCCATTATACCTTGGAATACTTTGTAAACCTCACCCTTTTTCTCCTCCCTTTCCTGGACCCCAAGGACTTGAATGTTGGATCTTTTATTTAGTCCCACAGGTCCCTGAGGCTCTATTAATTTTGTCTATTTATTTTCTTGGTTCAGATTGGGTAATTTCTGTTGTTCTGTATTTTAAAAAGTTCACTGATTCTTTCCTCTGGGAGTACCCTCCATTCCATTTTCCTGTTTGAGCCCATCCATTGAGGTTTATTTTTTATTTGGGTTATAATAAAATTTCCATTTGTCTCTGTTTAATATCTTGTTTTTTTGTTGAGACTTTTCATTTTTCACTTGTTTCTAGTGTATTTGTAATTGCTCCTTGAAACATTTTTTTACAACTCTTATCTTTGTAAGATAAGTTTGCCATCTGTCATCTCATTATCTATCAGGTGGATTATTTATTCAGTTTGAGATTTTCATGGTTTAAGTATGAACCTGAACATTCTGGGTATTATATAATAAGACTCTGGGTCTCATTAAATAAGTTCTGTTTTGGCTGGACATGGTGGCTCATGCCTGTAATCCCAGCAGACCAGAGGCTGAGACAAGAGGATCCCAAGTTGAAGGCCAGCCTCAGCAGTTTAGTGAGGTCCTATGCAATTTAGTGAGGCCTAGTCTCAAAATAAAATGGGTTGGGGATGTGGCTCAGTGGTTGAATGCCCCTTGGGTTCAATTTCTGATAATAAATAAGCAAATAATTAAAAGTTCTGTTTTTGCTGTTTTTTAAAAAATAATATTTCTTTTTTAGTTATAGATGGACACAATGTCTTTATTTTACTTTATGTGGTGCTGAGGATCGAACCCAGTGTCTCATGCATGCTGGGCGAATGCTCTACCTCTGAGCCACAACTCCAGCCCATGTTTCCACTGTTTTTAATGAACACTGCTCTGGCAGGGTAAATTGGAGGTGCTTCTTCATTACTGCCAGATAGGATTGTAAGTTCAGGTTTTCTACACAGCTTCTATTAAGGAGGGAAGAGCTTCCTTGGTTTCCTTGTTATTGCTGGGCAGGGATCCGGGTTTGGGCCAGAATAATTATTATCCAAAAGTTTTCTGTCTTGCCACACTGCCCCTGTTCTGATTGACTAGCAAGAACAGATTTTTGTTGGACTTTTTCTTTTTTCTTTTTGGCTGTTGCTGGTTTCTTCATTTCCAAGTCTTGGATGAATGATGAATGAGGCATAAAGAGAACTCAGGGAATTCATCATCATGTCATTCTTGGGTCTTGAGTTCCCTAGCTTGTCTGCCTTCTCTCTCATTTGAACATTTGGTCTTTGTCTCTTTCTAATATATATGTTCTGGATGTTGAACTTAATGGGAAGAATAGGAACATGCAAATTCCTCAAGTGAAAATTTTAAAACAGTTTTTACATATTTCATGCTTTTATTAGGCTGTGTTCTGTCTCATGAATAGAACTGTGAGAAACCAATGGAGGTGACCTAATGCAAAATGGGCTTAACTTTTTTATATGTTTTTATCTTGAGTAAGTGCCATATACATGTTATAGATGATTTTTAAAATGTCAGTTTCTACTGTAAACAAGCTTATGCTGTAAGAGATTTCATTGATATCAGAGTAGTAAAAAACAACATTCAGAAATTTCACTACAACATATAATTATACATTATATTAATGAAATGCATAAATGTTTTACATATTTATATATAAGGTAGAAATAAAAATTTAAAATTTATTAATTAAAAATAGAAACTGTATCATGACTTTGAAAAAATTGTGCAGTCAGGAGTAATTACAATCAAGATTCAAGCATAGCTGGGCACAGTGGCACATGCCTCTAATCCCAGCATCTCAGGAGGCTGAGGCAGGAGGATTTGGAGTTTGAAGAGAGCCTCAGCAAAGTGAGGCTCCAAGCAACTCATTGAGATCATGTCTCTGAATAAAATACAAAATAGGGCTCAGTAATTGAGTGCCCCTGAGTTCAATCCCTGGTACCAAAAATAATAATAATAATAAGATTCCAGTATAATTAATCCAACAAATGTGGGGTCTTAGTTTATTCTGTTTTCAGATATTTTTAAATAAATGAATTTTCATTATTTCTTATAAAGTTAGGGAAAATGATGAAATATGTTACATAAAATTTATTACTTCAAATGTTTTAAGTGTAATTAACACTTAGAACATTTACAAATATTTGTGATGAAATTTAGCTAAATTTTTTGCTATAGTTATTATTACTTTTTCATATACAAAAACTTTCAGAAATGCCAATTTGAATTATTAGCCAGTTGATAGGGTAACTATCACAAAGAATAATGGTTTACTCATAGTGGATTAGCTTAATAGCAATGGTTTTGTAATTCTGTAAAAATCTTAAAATAACTCTTTTCTAGGTACAGTGAAGGTGAAATTCGATTTAACTTAATGGCTATTGTGTCTGACAGAAAAATGATTTATGAACAGAAGATAGCAGAGTTACAAAGACAACTTGCAGAGGTTTGTGGCCATATTTTTAAGTACAAAGTTCTAATTTAGTAATTCTCTCAGGGAAAGTATCTTTTTTTTCTTTTTTAAAATATACATTTAAGCTAGGTATGGTGGCACCACCTGTAATCCCAATGGCTTGGAAGGCTGAGACAGGAGGATCGTGAGTTCAAAGCCAGATTCAGCAACTTATTGAGACCGTAAACAATTCAGTGAGACCCTGTCTGTAAATAAAATAAAATATAAAAAAGGGCTGGGGATGTGGTTAAGTGCCCCTGAGTTCAATCCCCAGTACAAAAAAAAAAAAAAAAAAAATATATATATATATATATATATATATATATACATACATACATACATACAGTTGGTTTTTAAAATATATACACATATTTTCAATACATATATATATATTTATATATATACACACACACTTAATCAAATCTCCTAAATAGAGATTAAGGGAATGCAATCTGGATTCAGGCTACTTTGATTTAGTTCCTGGCTTTGTCAGACAGTGGCTGAGTTTCTTAATGTAGTGTTAGAATAGTAGTATTTAGTTTATGAGGAGGTTATCATAAGGATAAATGAGAACAATATATGTAAACCATTTAAAACAATGAGTGACAACTGGAAGGGCTAAGTAAATGTTAGCTATGAACTGTTGTGACTATTATGATTTTGTTATATAATTAAGCAAGTTAGAGTATATTTCTCAAAAAAGATATAAAAGATAGCAGTACAGTATATTCATAGTATAGATGGTATTTAGGTGGAAATTTGTGTGTTATTGTAAAACTTAGAAATATGGAAGGTACTTTTTAGAGCTTTTATCCTTTAATATTGCCATTGTTAGGTTGATATTTTGTCAATATTTCTAAGTGTAGAAACTTGAAAATAATTATAATGTGTTAATCACTTAAAAATATTCTGGACTTAAGCCTCAATCATTAGGGTGTGCTATTTTTTTTCTTTCTTCTAAGGAGGAACCTATGGATACAGATCAGGGTAGTAATATGTTAAGTGCTATTCAATCAGAAGTTGCCAAAAATCAGATGCTTATTGAAGAAGAAGTACAAAAGTTAAAAAGATACAAGGTATGTTTCTAAATATGTTTCTTTAATGTTTTAATAAGAAGCAGTATATTTTGAGATGAAGGTGTGTTTAATGATTGCATTCCCTTCCATCATTTACCAGTTTTCAGAATAATGTGTTGATTCTCTGGCACCCTGCAAAGATAAGTAAGATGGTTTTTCTTTCTTTTTTTTTTTTTCATATTTATTTTTTAGTTTTAGGTGGACACAATATCTTTATTTTTTTATTTTTATGTGGTGTTGAGGATTGAACCCAGTGCCCCTTGCATGCCAGGCGAGTGCACTACTGCTTGAGCCACATCCCCAGCCCCTGGTTTTTCTTTTTTAAAAATGTTGTTACGAACAGATATTTAATCTGTTTGAAGCTTTAGTTTACTGCAGTTATTCTTATTGATGCTCAAATTATCCCATATTTAGACTCAGGAGCCACTTCAAGCAGTCTCATGTCTTTGACATGATACCTTTATGGTTTGATGGTTTTGAGATTTTATTTACACACACACACACACACACACACACACAATCAGAATAACAATACCAGTAATGTTCATAAGAATTGAATTGTTTTCCTTAAATTTGTTTTATTCCTTAGGATGTATCCCATTTTATTTATTTATTGTGTGGTACTGGGGATTGAACAGGGTTGGGGGGCACTTTACCATAGAGCTGCATTCCAGTCCTTTCAATTTTTTAAATTTTGAGACAGCGTCTCACTAAGTTGCTGAGGCTGGTCTCAAATTTAGGATCCTCTTGCCATGGCCTCCTGAGTCGCTGAGATTATAGGAGTTACAGGATTACTCTTCCAGCTAGTACATATCCTATTTTAGATGTACAATCAAATTGCTGTGTTTTAAATTCACGTAAATGTTTTTCTCAATTTGCTTTCATATTATTAGGGGATTTAAAAAATAAGTTTGATTTAATTTTGTTTTTATAGTAAACATTTGTGTAATTCAGAGTCAAATAGAATAGCAAGATATTCTTTAGTACGGACAGTCATCTTCACTTCGAAATATGTTTAATAAACTTTTTTCAGAGAGAGGAAAAAGAAGAGTATACCTGAATTTTGCATGGCTTTTGATATGGAACTTAAGTTATTTGCCACGTTACAATAGTAAAAGGATACTTTTTCATTTGAAACTCAGTTGAAGGAAAGGATTATTTTTTTGGTTGCTTACCACATCATCAGCCATAGTTCTTCAAATCACACTTAACAGCCAACAAATGACTGTTCAATAAAATGAATGAACCTTAAAGTAGTAGGATTTCTACAGGTAGAAGTGGTTGCTCTGGAGTATTCTGGGCAGAAAAATGGAAAGGCCAATTCATGGGGACAAGAAAGTAAGAGATGAAAGGTCTTTTTTTGTTTTTTTTCGGGGGGGTGGTGGTGGTGGTGGTGGTGCTGGTGATTGATCCCAGGGCCTTGTGCATGGGATGCAAGAACTCTACCAACTGAGCTGTATTCACAATTTAAAAGATGATATCTTTAACTGTCACTTTCCATTTCATATAATATTAAAATCCAGACTACCTATTATTTATATTATTATGCAAGATTATTTTGTAATTAACTACTTTTAGTACCTACTAAAAATAAATTACAGATTAAATGTTCAGAATCTTTGCTACATTGTTTGGAATGCTTTGTAAGGTAAAATGATTATCATATTGACATAAAATGAACACATTAAGATTTAATTTAATAAACTTCAAGAACCTATGTCACAGCTAGTTAAAAAGAATTGTCAAATAAGCACAAATTTATATGAAGTAAAAGAACATTGAAATGAATTTACGAAAGATAGAAGATTCTTTCTATGAAGAGCTGTCTATTGAACCTCTGCTAGATAGAATCTGTAATATCTTGATGTCAATAGAAGGCTAGAATCATACTTTATATAGGAGGGTATTCTTTAGATGATGCATAGTTTATGCCCCCCTGAAGCACAATTTCCCCCTACATTCTACCCCTTTTTGATAAAATATAATCTCAAGGAAAGATTATTCTTGGTCAGAAAATAAAGCTGGTCTCATTAGACTTGCCTGATTATTTACATAGATGTAGTATTAAGAATGTTAATTTAGGCTGGGATAGTGGCTCAGCGGTAGAGCATTTGCCTCGCACGGGCGGGACCCAGGTTCCATCCTCAGCACCACATAAAAAAATAAAGACATTGTGTTGTGTCCATCTACACCTAAAAAATAAATATTTATATAAAAAAAAGAATGTTAATTTATCATGTAGACTCTTACTTTTATATGTATCTTTTTTTTTTTTTTTTTTTGGTGCTGGGAATTTAATACAAGGGTGCTTAACTACTGAGCCACATCCCCAGCCCTTTTTAAAAATTTATTTAGAGATGGGTCTCACTGAGTAGATTAGGTCCCCACTAAGTTGCTGAGGCTGGTTTTGAACTTTCAATCCTCTTGCCTCAACCTCCTGAGCTGCTGGTATTATAGGTGTGTGCTACTGCACCTGGCTGTAAATTGCATTTTCATAAATAATCTTAGATTGTTTTTTTAACTATTTATTTTTTGTAGTTGTAGTTAGACACAATAACTTTATTTAATTTATTTATTTGTGGTACTGAGGATTGAATCCAGGGCCTTGCATGTGGGAGGCAAGCGCTCTAACACTGAGCCATAACCTCAGCCCCTTAGATTGGGTTTTTAAAAGCCTCTTGTTGCTAAGCTTAGGATAGGAAGCCATGCCCACGAAACTCTTGGCACATGTTTTATTAGTATTTGTTCTCAATAGGAACCTAATTTTATTTTTTTAATATTTTTATTATAAGTATAGATGATTTTATTCCATATGTTTTAAATTGGGTACAAAAAATGATATATCAGAAAATTAGGGGAAATGTACCTAGAGTGATTTAATATGTTCTCTTTTCAGATTGAAAATATCAGAAGGAAGCATAATTATCTGCCTTTTATTATGGAATTGTTAAAGACTTTAGCAGAACACCAGCAGTTAATACCTCTTGTAGAAAAGGTAAGTATTTTATTGTTGAATACTTAAATTAGGTGTATAAATAAAGTATATTTTTTGGCATGAGTGGAGCTAAAATTTCATAAGCATTTTAAATTTACTTGTTTGCTTTTGCCTAGTGTTTTATATTTAATAAAAATTAGTTAAGCCTGTTACTGAAAAATGAAAATAAAAATTGCCCCATTGCTTTTGCCTTCTAGAATTCTTTTTGTCTATAACTCAGGTTCTGTCTCATTAAATGAAAATTTAAAATACTAACATTTCTTTGAGCAGAAACAAAATTTTAATATAAATAATTGGAATAACAGATTTTTTTCTACTTATTTTAGCAAAAATTTGAATTGATTTCATAAAAATTTAAAGTTAGAATGGACATTGATGGTAGAACAAATAGTATGGACTAAGTCTTGACTAAGAAATAGATTTTGTTATTTCTAATCTAGTATCTTTTCCACAGAGGGATAACTAACACAAGTGAGTTGAAAATTCTGATTTCTAAGATATTTTTTCCTTCAATATAAGAAGGTGCTTAATAAAATATTTGCAGTGTAAATGAAATGCAATGAATTGTTTTTAAGTATATACTGTAAATCAGCATTTCTGAAAGTGACCATCGCTGGATAATCTTTAAAATACATGTTACCTGGCCCCTCCCCAGATGTTCTGATAAAGGGGAAGGATTCTTTAATAAGTTCCCCAAGTGATTCTAATGCAACTGATCTGTGTACCACATTTTGAGAAATACTGAGAAGATACTACTAGGCAAATAAAATTTTGGACCATTAATATAAAGACCAGATTACGTGGTAGGTATATTTTTCTTATTAATTTTAAATTTTACAAAGTGAAGATACATTTTATCCCAGACGTTTTATAAATTTAAAATAATATGAGATCTGCTTTAATAAGATTTTCATATTTACCTTATTACCTGAAACATGACTCAACTTTTAGCATTAAATGCAAAAATTATTGGAGAAAACTGCTACATCTTCAATTATTTTTTTGTTTTTGTTTTTTAATTTATGTATCTTAGGGTATTCCAAGATGGGAAACTGACTTTTAAAGTTTAAGGTTAACAATTAAGGTCCTGTGGTTATCAAAATTGTTTACAGAGTGCCTAGGCACAGTATTCTTTGTGTGAGACACCATGAAATATTTCTGTTAAGAATATTATATGAAAAAAATATAATGTAAATCATATGATAAGTCAGATTTTAATTTTAAGTAAATTTTATTAGGACCTGGACAAATATTAAGTGTATTTTAAAGTTGGTCTTTGAGTATAATTTTTATGTGAAGATTAGGAAAAGTTGTGTTTGATTTTTTTTTTTTTTTTAATGACAGTATATCCCCAAGATTTTTTGAGAGCATGAAGAATTGATTTTTAGCTTTTCATTAGAACCTTAATTCCTTAGTTCACATTATTTTGGACACAAGGTGGCAGTATATGAATACCTAATATTACTATGACACCAACTTCTATTTCCTGTTTGCTTTTTTTTTTTTTAAGGAACAGAATTATTGACTTTCTAGTTTGTCTGTTAATTGAAACTATTCTTAAATAATACTACATAAGCAATATTGAGATGTGTTTATTTCTTATATACATACAATGTGTTTTTCCTCTTTGGTTTTGATTTGGTTGGAATACTTGAAATGTTCATTAAACATTTGTGAAACTATTCACTAAACATTTATCTAGATGCACCTATATTCTAGGCACTTTGTTAAGGTCTAGGAATCGACACATAAGTATGTAATTCTTTTCTCGACCAGTTTGTGATATAGTTTACAAAAGTAAAAAAAGGTAAACAATTATAGTTTGTTTATGGATTGAATAGTAGTATTCCATTTAGGGCCAGAATAAACATCTAAATAACTTTGTAGCTACTCAAAATTTCCCATTCACAAAAATCTTAAATCTGTGGTTGGAATTTACTGCTTAATCTGTACCATTATATCAGGTTCCTTAGCACAAGTATATTTTTGTTCATCATGTTTTGAAAAAAATATTATACCACATTGAAATATCACTTTTAGCTAGTAAATGCAGATGTTAAATAAAGCAGATTGAAAATCAGAATAGAATTACTCTTAAATTTTATAATTACAGTAAAAAGCTTTTATGGTGTTATTATTTATGTAAAATTACCCATAGAATTCAGAAATAGATTATTAATTGGAATCTCCAAGACTAGAGTTTTGATAACTGAGGCATAAAAATGAGTGAACTAAAATCTTTTTATTTTTCCTAGATAGTGAGCAAAAGTTGAATATTTTGATTCTCTCTTGGTTGTATAGCTATAATGAACTAGGCTAATATCTCATAAATGTTTTTCTTATATTCATTATACAAAACTGCTTAGGAGGTAAAACCAAAGTAACTGTATACTTAACTGTATCATATATCAAACCTGTAACTTAAAATGTAAAAAAGATTAACTAGTTTATGATGCGATTTGTGAAACTTCTACCTGTTCAGGTATACTTTTAGTACTTTTAAAATATTTATCTTAACCTTTATGTGTAATTCTGAATTGTTATCTACCCATATTTATAACAATTACCAATAATTTACCATATTGTAAAATCATGGAGATATAGTTGCTATGGGGATCCAAAGAGACTTCACCATTTTGAAATTTTTTAGGAAAATTCAAGACAGTCTGATTTAGTTGGTAATAAATAACTAACCTTCAGAACTTTCTTTTTTCTATCCCCAAATTAAAATAAAGTACAAATGTAGTTAATCACAATACTATTTACATTGATATTTATGATTATAGAATTATATGATTCAGGTCAATAATATTTTATATCTCCTTGGCACACTGTGTAAAAGGAAGTTATTTTTAACTGTGTATTTCTTCCATGCTATTTAGAAATAGCATAGTATTTTTTAGCAAGGGCAGAACATAATATAGGCTTTGAGTTTATTCTCAGCTATACTGTCTTTTTTTATGGATATGATACATTTTAGCTGGAGCTTTTAAGCAAGTTATTTACTTTTCTGTAGCTTCTATTTCTCATCTATAATTTGGGAATCATCTCTTGCACATTCTTGAGGATTAAATAAGACCCTATCTGTGAAATGTGCAGTAAGCACTCAATTAATGATACTCAATAATGGTAATTGTTTTTAACTTATTTTTTTGTACTCCTTAATTTATCTGAATTATATAATTTAATATATGGACACTCTGCATTACATTTGTTTGCTCATTTAATTATATTGTAAAGTTTATATGATAAAGTAGTAAATTTACTTATTCTAAACATTTTGTAAGTATGTTCAGAGATAAATAGAAAAGAAGCACATATTTTTATTTCAAATTATACCAAAATCAAATTGTATTTTTATTATTTGAAACTAGAAAACTTTGCGTGGGGTATGGTATAAATAACAGATTATGCTTATTAATGAAAAAATGTTGATGTAGGCTACTAATTTTTTTATTTCTGTATGGAATGTATGGCCTATTTTCTAGGTCATAGCACTCAAATTTATCATAGTTCTGTTAATAATTACTACCTAATCCATCATTAGAAAGGCAATTTTTCTAATTAATCTGTTTTTTAAAATAATATAGCAGGAAAGGTCTGGTATATTGGTTCCTTTCCAAAGACCAGCAGAATTGACATCACCTAAAAGTTTGTTAGAAATTCATAACTTCAGGCATTTTCATTGGTATGTATATTGAAAAGCACTGCTATAGAATACCTGTCTGACCTCTATTTTACTATATATTAGTTGTGTGACTTTGGTCAAGTCTGATCACCTGTGAGCACTGGCTTCTTCATCTGCTAAGGAATAAAATAGAGTTGTCTTCAAGCTATGTAACTGTTATGAAGATCAAGTAATGTGTGAAAACATTTTTGAGGTCATGTAAGTGAGGCTCACTGACATCAGACGGTATTCCTTTTAGTATGATTTATAGATAAAACAAATATGTAATCCTTTATTGGCCTTTTTTTACTCACTTTTAACTTTTATGCCAATTCTGCTTTAACTTTTATGTTGAAGTTATTTATTCAAATATGCAGAAAGCAACATAGGATTTTTTTTTAATGCTAAATTTGAGTAAGAAATGAACTGTTTTTAAATACTTATGACTGAGTTTGACTCTGTGGATTGAATAACTTGTGTTGATTACAATTTAATAATACATTTCAACTTCACATGAGAAAGAACTGGGAGCCAAACATGATCCTTCCTTCCTTTTCTTTTTTTGTAGTACTAGGAATTGAACCCGAGGTCTTGTGTATGCTAGGCAAGGACTACCACTGAGCTACATCACCAGCTTTTTCTTATTGAGGGCAAAGAATAACTATATAATTTTCCAGAACTAATTTGTTGCAAGTCTCAAGTTATATAATGCTCTAGAAATATTTTTTGTTTGTTTGTTTGTAGACAAGGTCTTGTTGTTTTGCCCAAACTGGTCTCAAACTTCTTGTCTCAATCTGTCCTCCTGAGTAGCTGGGACTACAGGTTCACGCCGCTGCACCAGCTCTAGAAACCCTGTGGACAGTGCATTTTATTCCTTGTAGCTTGAGAGTACCCTCTTAAGCACATTTTATTTTAGTACAATCTAAAGCAGACCTAGAAGATTTTGTAATATACTATTTTTAATTTTTAGGCAAAAGAAAAACAGAATGCAAAGAAAGCTCAGGAAACCAAATGAAGAGGATGCTTTGGGATGTGTACACATTTCTGCTTCTACACTTATTTTCATGGCACCATTAAGTATAAGGAACTTTGAGCAACATCCTAATTGACTCAATGCACGTTTGGCAATAGTACCAGTCTGTCTTGTCTTTAATGCATGGATTAATAAACTTTTCCCCTACCTGCATCATGTGCATGCAGTGCATATTAAATAAAAATAATACTGAGAGTGCTTGCCCAAATTCCGTTTTTTTGACATTGGATCTGAGAACTCTTATTGGTATTCTGGATTTATAACTACAGTATGAACCTAGAAAATGCACAGATGATATTCTTTACCTGTAATGTTCTGATTAATCTTTTGATTTTTTTTAGCTTAAAATTTTTTGATTTTTAAATGTTAAATCTTAACTAAATCTTCTGTTTCTTCTTATCATTAATGGAAAAAAATCAATATTTCTGTCTTTGACATGTGTTTTGAGAATCTTAAAACTAAAAATTTCCTCTTATACCACTTATTTGATTTTAATGCAGATCATTTGAAAAGAGCAAAAGTAAAATTTTTAGTGATTTTCATTGTTGCCAATAGAAAAGGTAATAAGCATTGCAATTTTATTTTAACAAACTTTCTTCAAGTGTTTGGGGTTATTTTTTAAACCATAGATTTATTGTAGGAAGATCTGAATATTATGCCTCAAAACAAAATTTCAAGTTAAGAACAAATTGTAATTCTTAAAGAGTTTTGGTATTATTACCAATTTGGCAACCTTGTCAAGTTGTTAAGGTGAGTTTTTATGGAAAATTTGAGGTTTGACAATTCAGGTTATCTGCTTTAAAAAAAGATGACAGTGGTGATAGAGGATCCTCTGTGCCAATTTGAATAAAATTAGTATAGCTCAGTTTCCAAGAGCCATGTAATGTACAATTTGCTCACAAAGATTTTTTTTTGGTGGGGGGAGTTGTTTTCATTTTTATTTTATAAAGTACTACTGAACTATATTCTTGCTTGTAATTTTCTTTTCCAAGTAAACTCTAAATGAAATTTTATAAAACTTCTTTTTATAAAGGAAATAACCCACTTTTTTCTTTACCAAGCACATTTTTGAAATTGATATGTGAGTTTTTAACATTTTATTATTTATTGTAAAATAAATTTAACATAATTTATTTTATTAGGTGGAATGTGTACCTATCATCCAGCTTCAACACATGAATGTTTTATGATTGTTTTAAAGCTTACTAATTGTGGTATTATTAAATGACTTAGAATTAATGCAGGGGAGACCTGTGGTAAAATTGAGTAGAAAAATTAATGAAATATTTTTCATATATAATTTCAGTTGAAAGTACTAAAAATATTTAGTTTTTCAGTTATTTGTGAGTAAATATATTTTGCTCTTGATATGGTAGTAATTATGGAGTGTTTCAAAACTGTGATACAATTTTAAAAAATGGTTTTCTAAGGATGTTCTTAGGCTCATCTCAATCTCATTCATTTATTTCAATTTAATTTCTATATTTTCTTTTATTGAGGCTTAAATTTTGTAAAGCAATGCCAGGATTATTGTAAAAAGTAGTATCAGTAATCAGATAAATCAATGGAATAAAAGACAGGACCTAAAAACATTAATTTTTATCTGATCACTTGATTTTTACAAAGGTGTCAAATAATCAAACAGGAAAGGAGAGTCTTCAACAAATGTAGGTAGGATAGTAGAGCTGAATATCCACTGAGGAAAAAAGGAATCAAGAGTTCCCTATCTCACAAAAAATTATTTGAGTTGAATCATAGATGTTTTTGTAATAGCTAAAAAATATAAGTCTTTTTTTCCCAGAAAACATTGGTGAATATCTTTGTGACTTGAGAGTAGCCAAAGGTTTCTCGGGTCATAGAACACATTAACCATAAAAGATCCAGGATTAGGTTTCATCAAAATTAAAAACTTGTCATTGAAAGACACCTTTAGCAAGAGTAGCTTGCATAGAATGACATCTTTAAAAGAGCTTTATAAATTTAGGTTATAGGTATAAGGATTTCTTAAAAATTTAATTTCTTATAAAAGTCCATGATAGGATTTCCATAGTTTAGGAATGGTTTATCTGCTGCTTCTTTAATGATTGCAAATGCATTGTGATACTTCATGTTTTTTTTTTCTGCTTGTGAATAAAGAAGTATGACTTGTCCTTGTCTTGGTCCTATATATTGCTGGTTTGAAACTAAATCTGGAAGCTAATGAGTAGAGAAAGTGGAGGAATAAAGAGCAATCCAGAAAAAGATAAATATTAGTTAAGTGGATTTTGTTTTGCGGGGGGTAGATATTTTAAAGAACATCTATTCTGCTCATTTCACTTTTGTATTTTCTAAAATCTCATTTAATGACTGGGTAAATGAAGGCACTTCTATTTTATGTTTTTTTTTTTACAAAGCTTGCCAATTCTTAGGGATGTACTTCTGCTGTTATAAACAAAGAAAACTTGCCAACAGCTGTAGCACAGTCTAGTCTCACCTCATATGTTTAGTTCTCAAGATAGCTGCCCTTTTTCTAGCAAAGAGCAGTCAGCTCAACTGTGTTACTAGAAAAACAAATATTTGTTATGGGATCATGACTGTAGGGAGTTGCTCCTCTGTTTAGGACCATGATTGTGAGTATTATGGTGCTACATGGAGATTACTACCTTTAATCCACCTAATCCACCTAGTTGCTTATAATATTTCAGGATACATGACTCTCCTCCCGCCCCCAGAAGGATATTAGTTCTTTTGCTTAAAAAAAAAAAAAAAATAATGTACTGGGAATTGAACCCAGAGCTGCTCTATCCCTGAGTTACATCCTCAGTCCTTTTTACTTTTTGAGACACAGGGTCTTGCTAAGTTGTTGAGGCTGGCATTGAACTTGGATTCTTCTGATTCGGCCTCCCAAGTTGCTGGAATTACAGGTGTGTGCCACTGCACTGAGCAAAAAAAGCTTTTAAGGTATTTCTCCCCTGAAAAAATTTAGAGAAAGCAAAGAAGCAAAAATTTATATTACCCACAGTTATAGCAACAGGGATGACCACATGAACATTTTATTGTATTTATCATTAAATATCATTTTGTCTATGTGTATACTGACATTTTCATATTAGTTTTGCAAGCCCTCCCTAATACTCTGCATTAGGTTTGTGTCATATATGTTATTTTTAAACTTGATATGAAATTTTTATTTTTATATCAGTGAAAATTCATAGAATGCAAACTATTTGAAAGGGAATTAAGATTAATATTGGGAATTTTGAAACTACCTACTAGTTTCTTGTAAAGTCACTAGTGGGCTCAAGCATGAGTCTCCAGAAATGACTCCTAGCAAAGCATATAGTACTGATCTTCTAACAAGAGAACTCCTACCTCTGCAGCAGTTAAGGAGTCTCTACTATTGGAGTTAGTGAAATTAGAACATGTTGTAGTAATTGTGTTCCAGGACAGTGAAACCTACTGTAACTATCTGTTGGTGCTTCAGGAACATATACTGGAATGCAGAATAATTCAGCTTCTCCATGGCTAAACATACCACTTAAAAATGGTTGAAGCAGTGGTCAGATAGTTTCTGTTGTACTCTTGCCTTTCAAATCTTACATGAGCTTTTCTGTAAGCATTTCCAGGAAATTGAGGTTTTAGCTTTCTAGTCTATACAGCATAGGAACATATTAGGAAGGAAGTTGAAATGGATGCTGACAATCACACATTTTTACACTTTTCTACATTGAAACACATTTTTCCTGCTTGCATAAATAATATGTTTCTTTTAGAGAAATGAAAATGCAAGCAGAAAAAATAAAAATCTAATCCCATTCATTAGAGAGTGAGTCATGGTTAGTGTTTTGAAGTATCTAAGAATATGTACATTTACAATTGTGTGTATATACATATATATATGTAGAAATTTTCTTTTATAAAATGGGATCATACAATTAAACATTTGTTCTATGCTCTTTTCCATAAACTTCACATCGATAAATAGGCTTACATCTTTTTTTTTTTTTAGTTATCCCTTAGTATTCCATTAAATAGATACACTTTAATGTATTTCACAAGCTCCATAGTAAAGAATAAAGTATAGAAATAAAATGGACAAACTGGATAGCTTGATTTTTTAGGGTAAGATTTTCTTGAAAGTCAATTGCTAGAACAGTCAAGGATGCATGTTATTTAATTTGTTCATGTTCTTAATCTTTACTGGCCTAAATCTAGTGACTGACAGTAAAATTTCACCACTTCTAGCATACTTGCTACCTTTTATTTTTAACTTGATTATACTAATTCTTAACTTTTCAGTAATTTTCAATCTGTATCTGAGTTGTTCTAGATGCTGAAAATATAGTGGTGAAAAAGATAAATTCCTGCCCTCATGGTGAAATGAATATAAGTATGTGAATGTTATTTTTCTAGTAGTTAGGGAGAACCGTAAAAAATAAGAGAGTTGAGGTTTGATAGGATGGTCATGGAAAGTCAGCCCCTTTAAGGAGAGGATATTTAAGCAGAACCTAAATGAAGAGAATTTTCTACTCAAGTACTGAACCAGCACAATGAAAGTGGATTGCATGCCGGCAAAATCAAGTTTAATAATTTAGGATGCTAATTTGCAATAATGTTTGATAGTTAAAAGATTTATGAAAGTTAAAATAGGGTGTTAATATGAAAATAGGTTGAACAAAAATATATAAAAAAGATTAGAACCACTGGTCTATGTGCCTTTTAGACTCTTGATGTTCTATGAAACACACTTCTTTGGCTCTTTCTTGTAGCAATAATATAGTATTGACTAAACCACAAATTCATTGGGAGAAAATCTCATGTAAATTTTTTTTGGGTTGGTTTTAAGAAAATTTTTTGTTTTATTTTATTTGGTGGTACTAGCATTTGAATCAGGGCCTCAAGCATGCTAGGTTAGTGCTCTACTACTTCTACATCCTCAGCCCACAGTTGTGTTTCTAAAAATAATTTGAACCCTACTCCTTTATAATAAAGTTGTAAACATGAAAATTAAAACTGAAATTACTAGAAACAATATGAAATAGTATTTTATTATTGAGAATAGAAACAAAACTTCCTAAGCAAAAAGTAAAGCAATAAAAAGAAAACAGAAGAGAAACAGTTGACTATATAAAACTAAAAGATTTCTGTACAGCAATAGATGCCAGAAACTCTTAAAAGACAATAATCCAACCAATAAAATTATCATATATCAGAAATATAGTTAACATATACTGAGCACCCCTATCAAAAATGGTATGGAGGGAGCAGGAGAAGCACTCAGGAGAAAAATTGGCAAGCTGTAGGAACAGAAAATTCAGAGAAGAAACTAAAATGGCTAGTAACACAAAATATGGTAAATCCCACTAGTCATCAAGAAGATGCAAAATAATAAAGGAATGTTCTTTCGTTTCTGTTTTCCCCTACCTCATTTCCTCCTTTTTCTCTCTGGCCATCTTTCTCCTCTCTCTCTCCCCCCTCCTTCTTTTGAAGCATCTCATGATGCTCATCATTCTTATATACCTCCTTTACATATTTCCACCATTCTTCTAATTAGAATGATTTTTAGAGATGAAAGTTGTATTATAGACAAAATTGTAATGTG